TTAATTGAAAACAAAAGCAAAGAAAACAAATATCTATGGTAGGATTTCCAGGGCTGCTGTGTTGCTGGGTCTAGATGTTTTGCACTTAGGGCTTTTGCAGAAGTATATCAGAACCATGTGTCAGGCCTTTGCTACAGTCTGTTGAAGATCCAAGTTACTCCTGGGAAACAGAACACTTTAGAAACTTCCTGTGCAGAAGTACACTTCCTCCCCACAGCCACTGAAGCACGAGGAGAATCCTGAAAGATGACGGATGGAGGCTTTCAGATATTTAGTTTATCCTAGATAGGAATTTTCCCTGCCTCTTTACGATGAGCCCAATGCRCCACACCTCCCTGCCGTGATGACAAACTGAGGTGCTCCACACCTGATGAAGCAGGAGGCAGATAATCAAATCACACAGGATTGCATGTCACATTTGACCTACAAGTCCCTATTTTCTGGGCTCAAAAGTGCGATGGAATCCACAGAAGTGCTTTTGACTCTGCGAGAGATGAAATAAAAAGACAAAATCTCAGCCGTGTTCATTTTTTATGCTTCCATCGCTCTAACTGAGCTTTTTTTCCAGCATATTTTTCCCTGTCTTTAGTTTTGACAGCCTCCCTTCATGTGAGAAGAGGCTGTTAATGAATGTGGATGTGCATGTGTGAAATGTGTGGGCTCCCGATTCAGCTTCCTCTCTGAGTGACAGAAGCTCAACAAGGCTTTGGAGGATGGCTCAAGAGTTGTTTTAAAAAGCAAACAAGGAACATCTTTTTTCCAGATGGCCACAACAAAACAGAGAGGCTGCGCCGGCACAAATCACTACAAGTCATTTGGAGAAGAACTAGTATTGATTTTCAGAGAACAAAACTCAGAGCTTGGTCTGTTGGATTTGTAATGTGTCTTGGTGCTGCTGGTCACAGCTCTTTATCTGTGTTTGCAAAAGTGACAAATACAAAAGAGGAAAAAAAATTCCTGTTGAAGCTATCAGGACTGAGGCATGACAAGGAAAGAGTAAATATTTATTTTGTGATTCTTTCTGGTTTCCTACAGCTGCTTCTGTCAACCTCTGCTCTAATCTGTGAGTATCTGCTATATACTCCAAACTAAATTGCTGTTTATTCTATTCTGTAGTTGTGAAAGCTGCAGCYTGCTGCTGAATGTTATCAAGGGGGAATGAGGGTCCCAGGATGCTCAACACCACTGCTGACACAACATTATTCCTGAAAGGCCCGCCACTTGATTTGCCCGAGCAAAATGTCACAGTAATTGTGAAGATTTATATCAATGGGAAAGAGCTGACGAGGTCCCACGGCTATCAGATCTGACAGACCTAATATGTGCTCGACTGTTGGCTGCCACACTAAAGGCTTGCAGGTTGACCAATTTTACCTGGAATGTTCCACCTCAGCTGATATTGACCGAGCCGCCGTTTTTCACTTCGGCAAATCAAGTGTGAAGTGGAACCTTTAGGTTGTGAAATTGTGTTTTTAATAAACTGGAATGACTTCAGAGCATTTTCTTTATCAAACATTTTAGCTTTTGCTTTGTGTGTTGTCTCCGATAACATAAAAGTTGGCTGGCAGATGGTTGGTGTAAACAGGCAAACCTTTCAGTGGGTGTTCTTTGATTGGAATCTTTCACTCCCTTGGGATGAGCTTAAATAAAATTAATTGTGCATTGTGCACTTTTTTTTCTCCTACAACAAAAGAACAGGTGGCATAATGTAAAGACACTCTTAGATGTACAATATGTCTGCAAAGCTCTGTGCTAACTGGATGATAAGGTGGAGACAACACTTTGCAAAAAGAAAGCGCTAAAGAGGTAATGGTGGGAACCATGTTATTCAAGCCTTGAAGTGTGCGCCATGCAGCGAAGAAAAGAACAGCAAGCTACTGACTGGCTTCAGAACCTCACCTGATCGGGTAGTAATTTCGGCCTATGTTACTGTTTTTCATCAGTGGACAAAAGACATTAGTGCTAAAGGCACGGATATAACAGTCTCTGTTTTAACCAATCTGAAACAACATTTAAGACTTCTGTTTAATATTCTTTTAGTCATTGGAAATATTGAACTTAATCCAGGCCCAGATAAAAATGTTTTTTTGTCCACTTTTTTATATTTTATGGGATTTTATACATATGTTTTTAATAATTATCTTGACCTGGGTTTGTGCACAGG